AAATGACTCACCCAAAACCACAAAAGCCAAAAACAATCGGCTGAAAAATGCAGAAACAGTCAGGAGAGCTGAGAAGACAAATCTCTGTGGGTTTGTTACATATGATAAACCTGTTTCACATCATGCATACAGTGACTGGATGCATTGTTACTGTATTATTATTACACCGTGCACTGATAAACTGTGTGCTGCATGCTGTGTTCATAACACCGGAAATGCTGTATCTTAGTCCAGCACAAGAATCACATGGTTCTCTAAGCTTATAATGAAGCTGCCAATTGTTGTCTGCTGTGTGACAGGATGCATACACGACGCACAGACGGCGGCATGTGGGTTTGGGCTCGACAGAAGCAACGTGACAATGATAACATCTTAATCTGTGCTAATGGCTCCTAAAGATCGGAACAGACTCTGAACCCTACAGCTCACTTACTGTTCAGTCTAATCCTGCAGCCCTGTCAGGAATAATTAATAGTTAAAAATGTAAAAACTAATGTTATCAGCACCATCTGCACTGCAGCCTTGTAACTTCCTACAACAACTACATCAGCAAACATACCTTCAGCTCTCTTTACCATTTTTATCAAACCCCTATGACAGTCTGCTAATTCTCATCATACCTTCCTGCACGCAGGTCCATGTGTCCACCTCTGGAAATGCAAAAACACAAACTGCATCTTTTGAGTACGCTGTGGAGCAGACGTATGGATTTATGCTTTATGGTCATCAAAATGTTTAGATTAGCCATCTCTTACTTCGGGGTTTATTTCACTATTTCTTGCCAGGGCCTCTCTGTTGGTAAACCTACGCACATGTAACTTTAATGTTTGCAGTTAACACTGGAGCCCCGATTATTAACAGGTGACTCTTACTCAGCGTATGAGTAAATGCATCCTTGGCTCATACAGTTAAATCCACATCCACAGTTTTTTCTTATCTGGGTCTGTGCAGCATCACAGTGGAGTTTAACTAAAATAATTAATATGTGACCAACTTTTAGGCTTTCAGGTTTAATATGTTTTAATATGTTTCAATATGAGAATGCACACAAGGTTTGCATTCTCCTTAATTACAGCCTGTGATGATGGGCTGTGTGGTAGGCAGCCCGGAAAGGTGGACCCAAGAGCAGGACTCAAAACCTGGAGGTTAAACTCAAAACGCAGTTTTATTGCTAGAAAAAACTCCTGAAAATCAAACTCACAAAACTAAAACTCTGAAGATGGGAACTAAGGCGCAAAACTGCGATACTAACAGGCAACAAACACGCAGCATGCGGCGGGTAGGACACATTAACAATGCCACAGAAAGCAAAGGCAAACAAAGGTCTTATAAACACAGTGGCGTAATCAGGGAATAGGAAACAGGAGGGAGACACAGCTGGGACAAATTAGGGCTAACAAGACAGGGGGAAGTGAAACTGAATACACTGACATAGGACATGGCCCTTCAAAGTAAAACAAGGGCCATGTCTTCCTTCTCTCACCCCAACCAATCACAGCAGATGGCCCCGCCCCTCCCTGAGCCTGGTTCTGCCGGAGGTTTCTTCCTGTTAAAAGGGAGTTTTTCCTTCCCACTGTTGCCAAAGTGCTGCTCATAGGGGGTCATATGATTGTTGGGTTTTTTTCTCTGTATCTATGAAGCGCCTTGAGGCGACTTATGTTGTGATTTGGCGCTATATAAATAACATTGAATTGAATTGAATTGAAACCAGAAACAATTTGCAAAGACTTGACACTGAGAGACAGACCGAAGACTATAACAGAGGGAACCAGTGAAGACGGCGATTTAATACTTGGACAAAAATCCTTTGCAGTCAACGACTGCTGAAGTCCCATAGACACAGACATCACTTCCTCCCTTGAGATGCTCTGCCAGGCCTTTACTGCAGCCAGTTTGTGTTGCTGCTTGTTTGTGTGTCTCTCTGCATTCAGTTTTGTGTGTCTGTGAAGGCTCTCCATCATCCAGGTCATTGGAAAGCATCTGGACTTCTTTGGGTTTCTTGAAGTTGAGTTTTCAAGATGCTTTTCTTTCCAAGCTCCTTGGATTCAGTTTTGAATAGAATCTTTATTGGGCTGAGATCAGGTGACTTGACTTGGACACTAAAGGTTATCTTTGCCTGAGAATGTCTCGGGTTGCTTTTGCAGTGTGTTTTGGATCCATCTGCACTGAGACGTGGGGTCCAGTCAGTTTGCAGCATTTGTCTGAATCTCAGCAGAGAGTACAAAGCCTTGCATGTCACAATTCATCCTGTTACTTCTATCATTAATAAACACATCAGAGCACAAACTGTTTCCCTCCTTCTCCATATTTCTCCTGTTGTTGTGGTTCAGGTTAACCTGTGTTTCATCTGTCCACAGTAACTGGAAAAACGAAGAATAAAGAAAAGTAATGGAGCAGATATGTGCCGTTCTTGGGTCTAACTATTGGTTTGAACCTTGTTTTTTTATTTGCTGTATTTCTGTTTCTGAAGGCATCTTGATTGTAGGCCTTGACAGTGTTACCTCCAGAGTCTTCCTGACTTGGTTAGATGTAACACATTTTCTTAACTATAGAAATAATTCTGTTCTCAAGTCCCGTATTGTCTTCTGTGGTCTTTCTGGCCCTTCGGTACTGTCGATCAGGCTGCTCATAAGGTGAGTTTCTCTTGTGTTTGTTGCTGTTGGTGGTTTTTCTTCTTCCTGATGAGCGCCTTTATCTGTCGCCCTGTTTCCTTGGGTCTAATACGTACGATTACAATGAAAAAATCTACTTCAGATATTACGTCTGCCTCACATGTACAGGCCATGAATGTAAAAAAAAAAAAAGCTATAATACCTTTTGTGTGTTTTTTAAACAATGCATCATACGCACTGGATTCTAGCGGCAGAGAACACACGAGGACTTCTTCCGTGTTGGAGGAGGTGCTGGAAAAAGGCTTCACCTGACGCTCCGTGGTAGCGGTGAAGTAAAAACCGTTGTTTGTACGATTGATCTGTGTGATGAACATCAAAGAGCGGTGTTTGCACCTCCCACAACTCCACTGAAGTGTTTGTTGGTATGCAGCAGGTACAGCGTGGGGTTTGGTGTTATTGTGCAGAAGAGGCTGCGATGACTGGACTTTCAACTGCATAATTACAGAGTGTCACAAGTATGTGCAATAGAATAATATCAATGTCTCAGTGCACAATGATGTTACTGTTAAACTAGTATCAAGCTACTGAAAATGTCCTCAAAGTGCCACAGTAAGCAAACCGTGTAGAGTCCCTATCCTTTTATATGACCACCATAATCTTCTCCAGAACTCTATATTAAAAACAATGCTTGTGAGAGAGATGAGTCATTGTCCTCTTAAAGGGAAACGCATGCTTCTGTAATAGCACACTCGCACTATTTTCATTCTAATGGGACAGGGTTTGTTCACTGCTGTAAACCTCGTGAGCTGAAGCTAATTCGCTTGTAACATCTCAAACAAAGCGAGCCCTCACAGTCGATCACTTACTTGTCAAAGGAGCAGCTCTTGGCACTTGATGACACAGTAAATTCAGAACTCGATGCTACTATCTAAACTCTTGAGACACGTTTCAGCCGTATTTGTCTGGTGGTAACCTGGAACCAGTGGCTTAGATATACCTTCTTCTCTCCCCACGAGAGTGTGACGGGATCAGAGGAAGATATCTTCAGGCTGACTGGAAGGTAATTAAATGGCAGCAGCCTGGGCCGTGCTGTTTCAGGCATACGTATGAAATGATCGTGGTGGGGCTGTTGCCATGACGTTGTGATTTCTAAAAAAATGCAGAAATTTGTGAACAATAAAACAATAAAAGCCCAGATAATATTCATTTAAGAGTTCCTGCTGCTGAAAAAAGGACAACGCACTGTTTCTCTGTCCTTCAGCGATCCCAGTAATCTGTTACAGAACGTCTTCAAACATGTTTTATCTACCTGAGGAGCGAGCGATGTATCTTCTTGAATTGAAATGTCACATAGACGAAAAGACACAAACAGGGTTCATGTTGGGACGGTGCAGCAGGGAGTAAATGCAGCCTGCAGCAGAGTTAACATAAAATCATTCTGGAGTCTGTTGCCAAGTGAATTTATAAAGCATCTGTTACATTAATCAGGTCGTTTTTACAGCATGAGATGATGCGCCAAAACTGCCGAATATAGAAAAGGTTTCGATGGAAAACAACGGGCCTTGGAAAATACATCATTTGTTTGGCTTTTCTTTAAATATGTCTTCCCTTCCATGCTGTGCGTGCAAATATTTTTATCAGTGATGTGTAATTTGTCTGAGGGTAAATTGACCCCACAATGTCAGTCAAAAGACACTTGTCAGGTTTCATTACCCATAATTGTGAAACAGGGGCATCATCAGTAGTGGCTTGCAGCAGCGGATAACCTTGAAAGGACTCATTAATGTCCACTCACCAACCTTGCAGTTATCCGTCCAAGGCACCATGTTACTTTATTATTATGGAAAGCTGTCTGCGTTTGTTCTGCAGCGCAATCACGCAAAGAAAGACAGCATGCTTCACCACCCATATACACACAGAAGTATATGTGTGGACAAACATTTTTGTTAATGGCTACAGAAATATCTGCTGGTGGCTTTCATGGTTAGCACTCACAGCAAGAAGGTCCTGGGTTCAGTTCCACCACAGACCTGTCCAGGGTGTGCTCTCCGTCTTGACCTAAGAGGGGGTTCGGCTCCATAACCCTGACAGAAGTGGGTGGATGAGTTCTTTAATAGAAAGCTAACTGTAGTCCCATGAAATAGATGTTGCATGTTTACCCCCATGCTATAGCAGAGGCTACAGAAAACAAGGCCTCAGTTTATCGGTGTGGCACTGAATAATAACGCTCCAGCAGGTCACCACTTTTTCATTCAGGATTTGTGGGTTTTTGGTGATCTTTCTAACAGTGGACTTGTACCTCCGTGTAGTGGCAGCTTTCAAACAGCAGAGGCGCTGCACGAGCCGGTGGGTCGGAGTTACGTGACGGTCACATTGGTGGCACGTGACCAGGGGCCGATGAGGAAGTAAAACACTTTCTGTGCAGCAAGGTGGGGAGAGGCTGGATTTGAACAGTGTAGATAACATGAGCAGGGAAAGGCGCATTCGCGTTTCTTTCCTCACACAGTGTCACAGTTGTTCTCTTAATAAAAGCCGCTCCCTGCTTGTAACCTGCAGATGGTTTATCGCAGAAGCATGTTTCGCAAAAACTTCCCGAGTAAAGCGTTTGTCTGCAGACTCGTTCTTCTCTGCTTCCACTTGAATAAACGACTCGTAGCGATGTCGATGCCAAAGCTGTCGGGAGAAAGCTCCGAGCCACCGGCGAACAGCGGCGCGTCACAGATCGACGAAGGCACGACAGCAGCAGACGTCAGCGACGCGGGGGGCGAAAACGACCCCTCCTCCGCGGGAAAGTTCACAGAGGGCGAGATGGCCATCCACAGAATCCATAGACTAGCGTGTGCGGTAAGATGCATCACTGAGACAGCCAATCGTGTCATGTAGCACAATCGGACCGCAGATCCACGGGTGATTAATTACACGCGCTTTACAGAGAAATGATGATAATTCTGCGACTGGACGAACTGCAGAGCCGACGCAGACGCTTTACTGCAGACCAAGGACGGCAGAGTAACAGCTGCAAAAATGGTTACAAAGTTTAGAATGTGCGTGTTGTGACAGGTGATCAGCACCGGATGGAATAATGTGTTCAGTGAGTGTTGCAGCAGCTGATCATCTATAAGCGTGTTGTCTCTGTTAAATGCACTGGGCTAAATTAAGATTAAAGCACCGGTTGGACGTCCTTTGCCTTTGTCTTCATTCTTCGTGGCACAGATTCAAATAACTCCTGGAAACGTTCCTCAGAGATTCTGGTCCCTGTTGACAGGATAGCTTCATGCAGTCACTGCAGATTTGCCTGCACATCCTTGATGTGGCTCTCCTGTTGCACCACATCCTAAAGGTGCCCTGCTGGACTGAAATCTGGTGATAAGGCAGAATGGATGTTTGCGCCAAATTCCGACCCCACGATCTGAATGGCACAGCAGAAATCAAGAATGATCATTTTTCCAATCTTCCCGTTGTCACCAAAAATTCTTCAGTCACTTAAATCAACCAGTTTCTAATTCAGCAGGTCATCTCGACCACATCTACACACCTTAAATCGTGTGATTTATAACTGTTGGACAGTCCTGGGCGTTTGCTGTACTTCTCATTTCATGATGATCCAGATGTTTCCAGCTGGTGAAAGGTCTGGACCCGGTCAGCTCAGGACCTAGCCTCTCCTATGAAGCCTGCGGTCATAATTGATGCCGTACTTAATTCAGCAGTGTTGTATGGTCGGCAAGCTGCCGCTTCCATCTGCACTAATGCCTTCCCATACCATCAGAGATGCTTGCTTTTGAACTTAGCTGCAGTTAGTCTGGAGTGTGCAGGGTCCATGTTTTTCAAAACGACTTTCAAATTTCATTCTCGGTCTGACAAAAGATTCCTGCTTTCCCTCAAAGTAGGAAAGTGTCACCTGCCATCCTCAAATGCAGGTGTCTGTTAGGATGCCTGGGTCGTCGACCCAGGGTTTTTGAGTTTATATTATTTATACTGTCTAGTTTTTGGTTTCTTTGAGTTCTATCTTATGGCTTAGGTCTCTGTCTTCTTTAGTTGCTCTGTCTCCCCTATCACCTGCATCCCCTTGTCTAGTTCGCGTTTATGTGTATCTTTAGTTCCTATTTCTCAGTGTTTGTGTCTGCCCTGTTCCCACGTCTCTGTTCCCTTTGTTATAGTGCCTGCCCGTGAGTCTGTGTTATGTTTCCTGTTTTACTTTGAAAGTCCATGTGTGATGTTAATGTGTCTGGTTTTGCTTCCTCTTGTCTCGTTAGGCCTGATTTGCCCCAGCTGTGTTTCCCTCCTGTTACCCATTCCCTGATTGCTCCCTCTGTGTATTTAAGCCCTGTGTTTCTTGGTGTCTGTGTCGCGATCTACCGTTTATTTTGCTGTGTGTTTTGTCAATCCGCCGGTGTTAGTTTTTTACTTTTTTTCCCCAGTTATGTTATGTTTGAGTTCAGCATTAAAGCTGTTTTGGTTTAAGTTCTGTCTCCGGAGTCTGCACCTTGGGTCCTATTCCTGTCTGCACACAGCCGCACCTAACAGTGTCCAGAGAAGACGGCAGCGTTTCTGGATCATGTTCGCTTATATCTCGTTCTTTCACCTGCATTTGTGGGCGGCAGGTTGAACTGTGTTCACAGACAGGAACTTCTGGCTGAGGGACAGAAGATGTCGGGCATCTATTATTGATTTTCAGCGTTGTACCGTGCGCACAGAGATTTCTCCAGATTCTCCAAATATTCTGATATTATGCACTGCAGATGATGAGATATTCAGTTTTCTGCGTTATTCTGAAAATGTTTCACAATCTGTAATCATAGGTTTCTGCAGATTGATGAACCTCTGCCCGTGTTTGATTCTGAGAAACTCTGCCTCTCTAAGACGCTCTCTTTATACCCACTCACGTCACTGAGCTGCTGCCAGTTGACCTGATTACTGATAAATGTTGTTTCTTTTTAGCTCCTCTTACTTTTCAGGCTCCAACATTTTTGTTGGAATAGTTTTTTTTATTAGTCTTTTCTCTTAAACACAGTAACAAGTTAAAATCTGACGTCAATAATCTGGAACAATACCAGCATAATATTTTCAAACTGCCCACCGTGTGTTAGCAGCACGATAACCTGGCAGCTACGATGCATCTCCTTCCTGTTCCCAGGGCGGTGCCCCCAACCCTCCTCCACGTCCCCCGAGCCCTTAACCAAGTGACATTTAGGAAGATGAAACCACTGATGATTTTTGACTCAGTCTTTCCATTCTAACCCGAGATAAACATCTTAATTATTTTGCAGTGAAAGTGTAGGTATTGGAAAGAGGTACGAAACGGCGCCTGAACGTAGGAGGTGTCTGTGTCCACCTGTTATTGTTGTGAACTTTCACACAGAGGAGAATACCTGCCCGCTGCCCCAAAGAAATGATGCTGATTGTTTGTGCTAGATCCATCATATTCACCAAATCTCACTTGCTCTTCCATGGAGCAGAACCAGCGAGCTGTGCTGATGACAGCGGTGAATAGGTGTCATCCGCATGCCTTTAGGCTTATCTGTTGTAAATATTGTGCTTCGGAGTGTGGATGAAGTTGAGGCAAGTTGGCCGCGACCTGAGGAGAGCGGTAGGGCCTGGGTGGGAAAAGTACAATACAGAGGGGGCCCAGCTATGCCAGCTTCACTATGTGGCCTTGCAATGGCATGTGAAATGACAAGCCGTGTCACCAAAGGGCCTGGGGCCTTTTTCCCTTTGTGGCCTGTCAAAGCTCACCAACTAGTGGCTCTCAGTTTGAAACAGACTGAGAGATGACATTTTGGAACTTCCTAAGGGATGGAGAGGAGTTCAGGCTTTTCCCACTTACAGAAGGTGTTTTTGTGCCTATGCAAGACGAATAACTGCACCAAATAAAACAACGACTGTCTGTAAAGTTGATTTTTCACCATCCTGAAAATTGTCAGAACGACGTGCAGGTTTCAGGGCTACCAGCGGATTAGTCATAGCGTATTCTCACTACTGAATTGCATGCTAATTAATTAGTAATATCTTAAGAATGAGGGTGTCTTACATCTGTTTCTATGCTCAGAGGTCACCCAGTCCTCCTTCTCGTTGAACCACAGCAATCTGTCTCCGTATACGTTCTTAGCCACTATTTTTCTTGCAGGCGTCCTTGTGTTTGGGTGAGTATATGTATCGTATGTATTTCTGTGTGCACGGTTCACATCCCGCCACGTGTTTGTGTGTCGCTCTAATTGAATGGTAATATCTTCATTATGCTCAGGCAAAGAAGCAGATGTACGTTGACCCTTCCAGCGGGTATAAGGTGTTCACAGAGTATGCCCACCTTCAGAGAGGGAAGTGCTGCGGCAGTGCGTGCAGACACGTGAGCTCTTTGTTTTTACTGGTTTTTCTCCCTGTTTTTGTCCTCTGCCGTGTTTTTCCCATCCTGCACGTTTGATCCTGTCTGTTTCCAACGGTAACCGACCTCGTTTGTAAACCGTGGTTCTGCCAGAGCAGTTTTGACCAACGTTCGTCATTTATTTTCAGCACAAAACATGAAACGAAAGCAGGTTTGGTGGGTTGGAGCTTCCATGTTGTTGTAGAGGATGAGCTAACAGGGCTAATGACGCTGTGTGTTAGTTTCCAGGCTGCTTTCTGTACGTGGATGGAACCAAATAGAAATAAAACCAAATAGATGGTTGCATCAAAATATGAAAGGGCACAAACATGTAAACTGTCTTTATAACAGCACCTTTCAAGATAAGGATCACAAAGTGCTGCACACCAACAATCCACAACAAACACAACAGCCTATACAAAGAAGGATCGATGTTTTAAACAGTTAGTGCCGTCTACAGTCTCCTTCGGGTTAGAGCGAAGAACCACCGACGCCGTCAAAGACCTGCACGTTTTATATGGATGCACGGCTTCGCTACAACAATCGGAGCTCTGATCGCCGAGCTCGAGGACCGAGGACCAAGGCACGCTGAATTAGTCCAGTCTGAGGACACGAAGGCATCATCATAATCCTTCCTGACGGTTCAGCTGAGATCACAGCAGTAAATATGGTTAAGATCAAATTCTGGGTTTGACTCTGTGACACAGACTTGAGACGTGAGCGTGACATTAGCAGAAAGGCTCATCTGCTCAGAGTTTGGGGATCCATTTTCTCAGCATCATTTCTGACCTCTGCTGGTTTCAAGTTTCCAGACTAAGGATCGGTGAGGGTGAAATGCAAAGCTGAGCGGTTCATCCGTGTGTAACAAACCAACTACACAGACGTGTTGTGGGTTTTCTGACGGTGTCAGCCCCGCTCTGCTCATATCTGCTTTGCTCTGTCCCACCGAGTCTCGTTGTCCACTCTCCATCCCTGCTCTGGGTTTTGCTTTCGCCCCGTCCCATCCCATTCCGTCTTCCCCCCTGTCCTTATCCAACTCGTCCTTTTTTCCTTTGCTCGATCTGCTTCTCATGTGTCGTTCTCAGTGTGACTAAAGCTCTGCTCCACATGCAGCTGTTAACTGGCGCTAATTTATCTCTCGTCTCCCCCAGTGTCCATATGGCCAAGTCAACGTGAAGGACCTCGCCACGAAGAAGCGGTTCAATTCCCTGTTTTACGTGTAGACCTAACAGCCTCGTGCCAAGGTAACGCGCTAGGAGCCTGTTTGGAATGGAAGCCACCGCACGTTGCTTGTCTTCTGCCTGTCGTTATTTGGACTACTTGAGTCATTTTTTTCTTTTAGCCGTGTAATAAATGATGAAATATGGGTAGTGTCTGTGCAATACCTATCTCTTATGAATCACAACTATTCTTAGGATTATTTTCATTCTGGCAAAATGAGAAAGGAGGAGAACGGATTTGTTCACTAGACCCTCATGCAAACCAGCCTTTTATCACATTTTTGTTTTGTTCTGTTTTGCAGATACTTGTTTTTTCCTCTCAGTGTCCAGTGAAATGCCTTTGAGCCTCATTTTTTCTTTTCTCTTCAAGAGTATTTAATATTTTGTAGTATTCTGCTCTTCTGATGCATTTACAAGGGTTGTGGGAGTATGGAGATGAAAAACTGAGAGTGCATTTTAGATCTTTGCCCTCCAGATAAAGGGCATATAAGCGAAAGTAACTGTAAGATAGTCAGATGGAGTCTTGTGCTCTTTTGCTTCGCATCGCTTGTTATTTTTTTCCTCTCCCAAACGTACGACTGCATGAATATTAGCATCATTTACACACCACAAGTGCTTGACTGAACTGTCTACCTTTGACTGAGATACTGTGTTGTTAAAAATAGGAAGGTGCCAGGGGTCAGCCCTCACACTTGGCTGCGCTGCTTTTACACCACTTGATGGAATCAGGCTGTTAGCAAACATGCCACGGACATCAACAGCAGCCCTCCCCACCGGACTTGCAGCTCAGCCTCCTGGCAACACTCGGCTACAGTGCAGCTCCCCGCGGCTGCTCTCCTGAGCCGCAGCCTAATGAACTCCTGGGCCCTCTCATCCCAGGACTGCAATAGATCAGCTCGGCGCTCACCAGCTCGCTTAGACGCACACATGCGCAGGCAGGCTCGCTCCATCGCAACACTGCGTGGCTCCTAATAGGCCAATATAGAATAAAGGTTGCACTTGACCGCGCGCTTCGTAGCCCTGAGTGATAGCGCTAGGTAAGGTCAAGCGCTCGTATAGAACTACCTATGCCGTGGAAAGATGCGGCGCTTGATTTGCGAGTGCATGTGGGTAGGCGGCGTGACGCCTCCGGGCGCTCGCCGCAAACCCAACGCGCACGCTCGTCCTTCTCCGCCCGATTGGGCAAACGGCATCGCCATGAGAGGATGTGTCTTTTCCTCGGCAGGTGGGTCCCAAAGGCAAGTGCTTAGCGATCGGAGCAAAGCCCTGTGAGCGGCTGCAAGGAGATCGGTGATCCCGACAGTGCTGGGGAGGACAGGTTCTGGGGACGCGTCGTCAGGCGGGATGAGAGGCGAGTTTATTTGGTGTTATTCTAAACCGAGGCAGCGGAGCGTGCGGCAGCAACATTTCTACAGCGGGACGGCGAAGGTGTCACACTCATCAAGTACCTGGGCCCGCTTGCCTGCCGCGGCTCTGCCGGTTTTGCCTAGGGACTCGTCTGTCACATTAAAGTAGATGCATTGCCATTCAGGGCCTCGGCGGTCCCGCAGCCTGACCATGAAATAGGCCAACTTTCATGTCTGCCTCATCCCTCCACGTCTTCCCAATCCAGTGATGGCACAGTTTGAATTTTTTCCCCTCCATCATCTTCCAGCCTAGCAGTTTGTGACTGAGACGCAAACAGCACACCTTCCACAGATTAGCAGAGAAATGCACTCCGGTTACTAATTCATCCTTAATTCATTAGCGGATTGATTGAGTAGCCTGTGAAGTGCACTGGGACAATGAGAGAGAGCGTTCAGCTAGTTTCTGTGTTTAATCACTGAAACAAATTAATTTATCTAACGTTGATTAAAGTCCCGCCTTTTATTTGGGTTGTCTCTGGGTTGAGCTGCACCACGATCATTTTCTCTTTTACCCACAGTGCACATGTGCTCCCAGCAGCCGGTTAGACACGTGAGGCGTCTCTCTCAGGCGTTTTGGACTGAACATGTCGGACCCTCAGCTGGAGCATATGCTGTACTGGAGCAGAGTGGCAGCTATACGCCGTGTGCCTTTCTGCAGGATGATGGCACTAGCTGCAGAGAAAGAGCGAGCTGTCCAGTTTGGATCTGTGACCAGACGTGCTCCAGTCACAACCAGTTGACAGGCCAAGCAGCAGCCCCCACCCCCATCGCACCCCATCTCAAAGGGGCACAGCAGCCCCGCGGCCAGTGGCCCCGACCACAGTCGGTTACAGCGTCTCCATCACTGCTGGCCGGAGCAGCCAGGAACTGACACAAGGTTGGCAGGGAAAAAAACTTAAGTGTCAGCCATATGATGGCTGAAAGGAACATCAGTCTCTGCAATTGGCCAGGCACCGCTCAGTATGCCTGCCTGCGTGTGTGTGTGTGTGTGTGTGTCTTGATATTGAAGCAGCATTTGAGCAGCCCCTACATCAACGTCTGGTCGTTCTACACAGACAATGTCAGCTCGCCTCGGGGCAGCAGCCTCCACAGTGGTCATATGGACAACCACATCCCTGTGGTAGAATTAGTGATAAAAAACACACATGGCCACTGAGTGACAGTCAGCGCACCAGATTCCTTTGGACAGACAGGGCTGCAAATAGCACAGAGGAGCAGTTTCTCCCTCAGACCGCAACTGGTGGTCAGGCTCATGCCAGGCCGAGCCGCGGTCGCCAGATGAGCCCAGATAAAAGCAGAGTCGGGGGCAGTCAAAGGCACTTAAGCGCCCAAGGAGCACTTTGGCCTGTTTATTTCCCTCCTGGTTTTGCATCGCCGCAGTCGTTCGTGATTTCTCATCTGCGCTTTGGACCCGACGTGTCGCCGCTTTCTTCAGCTGTCACGCCGTCTAACCTCCAGCTCGCTTCACATTACGCCGTCTTCTGACTCTGTGTCCTCGCTCACTGAAGTAGAAAGACGGCGCTTGTTTGACAGCAAAACGATATTTACTAACCCTCTCCTCGCAAACGCTGCTCTGCCCCATAAGGTTATGTAGTGATAAATAACATCCATCTATTATGTTTCCATGTCCTTTCTAGTGTGTCCAGATACGGACTAATACACGCACCATTCCCCAGAAGGATACCGTGTCCCCAGAGGTGCTGGGGGTGGGTGGGGTGCATGTAGTGGTAGCTGTTCTGGAGGCAGGGAGGGGAGGCAGGCAGCAGTTGGTGTGCAGAGAGCAGCGGCTCAGGCTGGCTAGTTAAGAGCTTCTCTTTCCTATCCTCCATCTGCCAGGGACCGGGGTTGTGATTTGAGCTCCAGCAGAGCAGAGCAGGGAGGAGATCGAAGGAGGGGTGGATGGCGAGAGGGAGGGGGGGGGGGGGGGAGCGTTGCTTGGAAGAGGCAGAAAAGGGAGAGTGGTAGAAGCAGGATGAGGCGGGGGAGAAATGACCAGCAGGAGGAGACGTGGAGATTCTCGTATTATCCTCCGTGTCGTTATTTTCTTAAAATCGCCGTTCAGCATTTCGCCTCTTTATGAGACGTCGCGGGGGGGGGGGGCGTTTCCCCTGTTTTGTGCATTTCTGACATGGCCTCTGCTTCAATAATTACAAAGTCACGTCCACTGTGAGTTTGTAAATATTTCCAGGATGTCTCACCATCCAGCCACCCAGGCTCATGAGACTGGGATACAGCTTTACAGTGCTTCACTCCTCCCTCTGTTCCTCCTCCTCGCCTCACCCTCTCCCTTCCCTTCCCACCCCTTTCCTTCATTCTGTCAGCGTTTAGCCCGTGGTTCCCTGCACCTCACTGGATCCTGGGAGAGCCTTCCCACCGCCTCCTCCTCTTCCTTGCTTCTCTCCTACTCCTCGCCTCCTCGCCTCTCCTAGGCTCCTTTTCTGCCCTTGCTTTGGGAGTGACTGAGAGCTCCCTCTGTGAGACTGAGTGTCACTTGAGGTGACCCAGAAATGATAACTCCAGATGAACTCTGGATGTGTGGTAATCTAACCACCGTGCCCTACAGCAGAGAGGAGCCAGGCACTCGGGGAGGTGCGGGGGTGGGCGGGGGACAGCCAGGCGACCTGCTTGGCGCTGTAGCCGCGGTTTCGCCGATTTAACCAAGCGCGCTGCAGCGCCTGTCTGGGTATCGTGCTCCTAGCACGCTGTGTGTGCGCTCCGTGTTGTGCTACGCTGTGAAATAGATCTCAGTGTTGTTGCATTATTGATGAGATACACTGTGATGTCAACCCAGGCTGAAGGAGCAAAGCAAAATGACTGTTAGCAGTGTGGCACGTGATCATTTATGCCAGCGGTGCAGAGGTGTAATTAACTGTCACCCTTTGCTCCAGCCCCGGTGCTCGTTCACACGATATTCTATTCACTCGTAGTCAATTGAAACGAGTCCATCCGTGCACGGCGCGCCGCTCCGTGGGGAGCACGAGCACGTTTGGGTTATCCTGTTGTTTTTCTGGATGACCTCCCTTTCTCGTGTTAAAGATGAACGTGCACTTCAGGAGGAGCTGAGCGCTCCTTAAACGCTTTTCATTCTCGTACCGGTGATACCGTTTAACGCGCGATTGTCAGTTTGCATTTCAGGTGGAGAATAATAAGAAAGTAAGAAACCTCGCGCTCCTTGTACTTACCTCTTAAATTGAGAAAATACGGCCTCATTAAGAGAGACACAACCAAACCATCCTCAAAACATAAACACTATTAATATTTACTACAATCTTGACATTATTAATTATTGGTGAATTTTTCATCAGCCTTTCTTTTTTTCATTAGATGTTGCAACACAAGGCCACACAAGGCAAGTGTGGAAGTCTACTTCCTGGCTGAACAGACTTATTATTGCTTTGAATTTTTATGAAGTTTGTCAGCTCAGCTCCTCAGAAAAGGATCCGGGCGTGCAGTGTGCCAGACACATATGTCTTTTTTGTCTTATTTGTGTTTGTAATGAAATGCATCAATAAAATTAGACTAAAAAGTGCGGTGGGAGTCACGTGTCGTCTTGTTTTAATGGATCGCACATTTTTATTATTCGTTTGTCGTCACGAAAATATGAAATCAAGGAAGTCAGAGAAGGGGGAGGCGGGGGCAACAAAAAAACTGCGACCTTTCCTAATAGGCAACCCTCCGCTGTTTTGGTCCAGTACCCACATGATTAAAATGCGCACAATTCGTCAATTAATGAGCACTTTTATTTTGAAAATGGCTTCGATTTGGTATTTGGTTATTCAATACCAAAACATTTTCCCCTCCAGGCGTGTGTTGCTGCGCTCCCTATCTTTGTCAGATTTGATTGATCCAGTTTGACTTTACACCCTAATTATTTATTCACACAAACCTCTCCAGCCAGTGAGCCTGTAACCGTGCTCAGCTCACCTCAGTCTCCTATAATACGATCGGTGTGTGTATATATATTTCAAAATAAAAGGTAAAGAAGCTATGATGCATTTTGGGAGTATAACTGTTTAGGCCCAGATGTGCTTGGAGCCAGCTTTCATTTCCGATCTGTGCAGACGCTGGCTTATTCATATTAGGTGCGTAACAATAATGATAACCGTGCAGGAGCTGGATTCATTTACAGCACAGGATAAGTTGGGGTGTTTAAAGGACAAATACATATTTAATTGTTGAAAAGTCCCTACATTTTATTTTATACAGTGATAGTTTTATTGTTTCATTTGGAGACCACCGACTTCACCACTTTAATTCAGAAGCACATCACAGATTATAACCTACATGCTGAGTAGGCCATTGGCTCATGGCTCCCCGTTTTCTGTGTGCTGCGGTGTGTTGAGGGCCGTCTGCCTACGAGAGAGGAATATTTAAATGTCTTGTGTTTTAATTGACGCCCGAACTAGAACTGTAAGCTCAGAAACGAGGAACAGCCCCCCATCTACCGGCAGCCTCTCCTCTGTCTCCTCTGCACACTGCGCACAGTCCGGAGCGGCTCAGTCTGCGCGCTGCACAGGGATCTCACTCTCACACTGCACAGCCGCAGGTAAGACTTTTTTCCATAGCTATTTATTCTTGAGGGCAACGCTTATAATAATAATAAAAATAATAATAATATTAGTGACACAGAGAGGGCTTTGGGGGAAAAAACGAAAGGAGAAGCGGGCAGCGTGTGAAGCAATGCGCGACAGATCTGACGCGTGATAAAGACAGTGACATGGGTGATTTTGTCCAGGATAAAAGCGCAGATTTTATCGATCGGTGTGTGTTTAAAAAAAACTTATATATATTTTTTTTCTTATAATTATTTTTTCCTGTTTGCCTAAATCAGTCTCGATTATGCACATAAATAATAGATTGGAGTTTGCACGCCAGTAAAATCGTGCGAAACACAAATGTACGCGTTTTATGAAAATACAGGCAAAATGTCGCTGTGTGCGTGATTGTGATATTATTATTATTATTTCCATTTTCATTATGTATTTGACAAACGTCAGTGGCCCACTGAGCCGACTCTCGCCATGTCAAACAGAAATGCTGACACTGTGGATTTTTGTGCTTTAGTGCTTTTCCAAAGCCTTAAAATAAATTCAATTCCTTAAAAAATAACAATAATAATAAATTAATCTTTAACTTGGATAAATCACTCTCACTGACTAAAGCGGGAATGACACACAAAATCACTGTTTTATTTCCTACCGGTTTTTTTAAAGACACTTTAAAAATACTGACGGTGTTATAGATTTTAAAAAAAAGATATTTCAAAATAAAAGTGACTTTTTTTTCGTTTTGTAAAAAAAATATACATCTATATAGTTTGGTCAAAATCCGGAGTGAAATAAAAAGACAATCAGACAAATAAAACGCTTCAAGTATATATGTTTTAAATACAGAAAAAACAAAATAAACCAAACAGCAGCTACAAAGCCCCCCCACCCCCACCCCCCCCTTGGTGTTCACTGACACATTGGTAAACGCTCTTCAGTCATATTAAATGTCACTGCTGGAGGCAACGGGCCACAACGGCGTTATTTATCGACATTAATGCTTTCATTAAAAATAATAATAATAATGAGATTTTCTTTAAAAACTTCTTCATATTCAAAACACACCCTTTTGCCTAATTCGCAGAGAAGACGCAGAATGGCAGGAAAACTGCAGTTAAGATTAAAAATCGCACACAGAGCTGAGCTTATCGTTCCACTCGGGGCGTCTTTGTCCAGGTGAAATGAAATCCTCGTGTCCTTTTTGAGTGCCCCTTTCCCCCCACCACTCTGCGGCTGGTGCCGGGACACTGCAGAGCGCAAATGAGCGTTATGGGTTTGACAACAGCTGCACGTCCAGCCCGTCCAGGAGGGTTCAAGCCTCGTCTTATAGCGCTGCTATCAAGGGGCCTCCAATTAAAGCCAACACAACTTCGCTTGGTGTTCACGCGTGTGTGTGTGTGTGTGCGTGCGCGCGCGCGTGCGGTGAGGTGGATGGGTGGTGGGAGGTTCACGTGATAATGTAACACGTCTTGAGATGAAGCATCCACACCTGCAAACCTCCCCGAGCTTTGCTAAATCTATTAACGGGACTGATGTTTGTCTGTTGTTTATGAAAAATAATGCCGTCATCGATCTTACAAAGACCACAGTTCGCTGGCATGGATCCAGCTGGAAGGTCACGCGGCCAAAATCTCCAATTAATGAACAAATTAATTAAAAAAATATAGTTTTGTTGTCACCAGGTCTGCACTGCATACAGGAAGCGGAACGCGTTTTATTTCCTGGCTTTATTATTTGGGCAACAAAGCTTTCCACACCCTTTTAAAACTGACACAGATCGTTATTGCAGCCCCCCCTGCGCCCTGCGTAAAGCAGACCATCTTTGGAGATAGGGATGGAATTTTAAAAAGCATGAATTTCTAAAAATATGCAATAGCTGGTTGAGGTTTCCCTGTGGCGACCACCAACTGGAGGTCTCTCTCTCATCTCGCCTTTACTTCCACGTTGCTTCTTATAAAGCCCGTAAGAAGAAAAGCAGAAAGAAAGAGAAACACACAAACAAATGAAATGCGGAGACTACACAGTTCTCGCTGCTGTCAGATCAACTCTCCAGCAGGTAAACAAGGTTTTGGCCTAATTCAGCAGACAGAGAAAAGACGAAGGGCCGCGTTAATGAATCCTTGACAGTGGATAACGACTGCTTCAAAAGAGCGTTTAAAAGAGGGAGAGAGAGATTTCTATACATGTGAGCGTTTATCTGAGTTATCTGAGTAAGGAGGCTGTCGTTACCTGGGATACATTTTATTCATTAATTAATTCAGTTTTTAATCAAATCTCATTCATTTGGGCTGAAAACAAATCACATTGTTTCAAAAATGTTCAATTGA